ACAATTTCTGGGTAAAAAAAAATAGAACATTTCTGCTTGATTTGTTTGTGAAATATATCAGGAATATGTCTGTCAGACAAACCCTTCTTACTAAGGGAATTGTTCACCCAAAAATGGAAATGTGCTGCACATCAGACCTATCCCAGATGTAGATGACTTTGTTTCTTAATTGGAACAGATTTGGAAAAATTTTGCATTACATCACTTGCTCAACAAAGGATCCTCTGCAGTGAATGGGGGCCGTCAGAATGAGAGTCCAAACAGCTGATAAAAATATTATAATAATCCACAAGTAATCCACACATCACAACTCCAGTCCATCAATTAACATCTTGTTAAGTTAAAAGTTTTGTGTTCGTCAGAGATATTTTAACATAGATGAGATTACATTTTTACTGGAGAAACCAATACTATAGACCAGTGATCCTCAAATCTGGCTCGTGAGATCCACTTTCCTGCAGAGTTTAGCTCTAACCCTAATCAAACACACCTGAGCATGCTAATCAATGTCTTCAGGATCATTAGAAAATCACAGGTAGATTTGTTTGATTATAAGGTTGAAGCTAAACTCTGCAGGAAAGTGGATCTCGCGAGCCAGATTTGAGGATCACTGCTATAGACAGAGGAGTCGTATTTTAGCTGGAAGCAGCAGTTTAAAGTTGAAAATGTCTTAATGATGGAGCTTTCTTACAAGTATGCAGCTTTTCGCTTCACAAGATTGATGGACTGGGGTCATGTGGATTACTTGTGGATTATTGTGATGTTTTTATCAACTCTTTGGACTCTCATTCTGACAGCACACATTCACTGCAGAGGATCCATTGGTGAGCAAGTGATGTAATGCTACATTTCTCCAATTCTGTTCTGATGAAGAAACAAACTCATCTACATCTTGCATGGCCTGAGACTGAGAGTAAATTTCAGCAAATTTTCATTTTTGGGTGAACCGTTAAGTTGGCTGTTCTTGGCTTAACAATTGTTGACCTGTATAATTATTATTTATTTTTATTTTTTTTGGTAGTGGCTTGTTACAATGTGTTAATGGTTTAAGTAAATTGATTCTATTTTTAAAAAAGTAACAATAAAGGGAGATAGAGGAAGAGCCTGTTGTTGTATTATTCTCAAAACCAGACAGAAGCACTTAAAGCACTTAACCAGCATATTCCAGTAAACACAGCTGTGATTGCAGATCATTTTTCAAATGCTTTCCATTGCCTTCGACTCACGTTATATGATGTTGTACAGTATGCCACTCTATATGAGTGTGAGCATGTAAAACAGATAGATAATAAACATGCGCAGCATGTGCAGATAAACAGTTCATTCAGACTGACCACAATATGTCAAAGAGATTTTTCCATTTCCTTCAGGGAATGAATCATATTTTTTTTCTCTAATTACTCATAAAATTTCAATTTTAAAAACAAACATACAAAAAAACTACAAGGATAGCTCACACCAAAAAGATGTCATAATTTATTCACCATTGTTCTAAATATTTTTTTTAATTTTAGTTTTAAATTTTTTTTTTTACATATATATATATATATATATATATATATAC